CGGGTCAAGATTTTATAAAACTATCAACGAGTGCACTTATTAGACCTTTATTTTTTTTATTTAAAATACTTTGTATGTATTTATATGCTATCAATTTTGGCTTTATTAATATTTCCATCTTCAGCCATCACTTGTTTTTTTGCTCTTCATTTTCGTCCCATTTTATAAAATGAAATTTTACGTTCAAAATAGAAAAAAGAACAATAATATAAGATCAATTTTAGGATCAGTGAGTCTTACGCTCTGCCACCACTATTTGTAATGGTTATTGAATTTTTTATAGGAGGATCGTACCTCAGTGGATCAATGAACATAATAGATACAAAAGAAACTGTTAACTTCTAAACTAATATATTCTTAATCACAAATTTAAAAAAAAGATTAATGCTTACAATAAAGAATTTAAAAAATAAAATAACTATTACTCCAAATTCTTGTGCATGCACAAACAGAAACACTTGTGAATCGTACACAATATACCTTTAACTAAATTAAAATTAAAACATTAACTCAGAATACTTTCTTTGTATAGACAATTTAAAACAATAAGAGAAATGCTTTCTTCTCCTTTTTTCCTCAAAAAGAATCTGCCGGTCTTCTCTATCTCACCTCACATTAGGCCTATGTTTTTCTATTAGTTCAGATGGTGAGGAGAAATAGCGGGCTAAAGCCTCATAAATGAAATCAATGTTATAAGCTAGAGACGGATGTCAGCAACTAGACACCGTAGGTATTTAGTTTTGGTTGCTGATTGGATAGTGTAAGATGGATCCCGTCTTAGAATAAGTTTAGTTGTTAAAAGAAAGAACAAAAAAAAATTAGTTTAAATGACCATAGAACAACGTGATTTTTCCCCGCCGATCTGGGAAACATAACACTGCATTAATTACGCAATTGGTCTACGGGTGTCACCAATCACATTTACGAAAATCAACGGATTTTTATAAACAACATTGAAAAAGTTCAGGGTGTTCCACAAGCAGCAGTTCCCGGTTATGAAGAACCCCAGTATAAACAATGAAATTCCTAGGAAGCCGATCGACCGCCGAGTCCCGTCCATCTCACTTACCTGTGCCTTACCTATTTTGCTTACACGTGCAAAAATAAACGAAGAATGAGTAATTAAAAATAAAAAAAACTAGAAGTTCGCCGTCGACCCTCTAGTTAGGGCGATGACACACGGAGCGGTTTTGACCGAAGCGTTTATCGCGAGAAAAATCGAGGCGGTGAGTCGTTCATTGTTGTTGCATTAACCTGACAGACGTAGCGGTCGTAACCGCCTGTCGGTTTTCAAACCGAGTCGGTCGGTGGCGGAGACGACCCAACGCGTCGGTTTTGAAAACGCCAGGCGGTGAGTGGTACCCAAGTATTGCATCAGCCCTGACACACGTGGCGTTTATTTGAGCTGTTTTTCTTGTTTGTTCCCCACTTTCTTGAGGGGTTGTTCGTTTGTCAGTCTTCTAATTTACTTTTATGATGCAAAAAATAGACGTGGAGAAAAAAATTTGTAATGCGGCATTTTATTTTACTATGTAACTCGTCAAAACTGCCCATTTACAACCTGGTAATGTTAAAACATTCTTCAGGGTGTTTCCTCATCTCTGAAAACAAATTCTTAAAATGCCCTCTTTCGCTTCTCTTCTCGACAATTGGATGAACCCACATTCTCCTGTGTTTTTTCTCCATTCTCTTCTTCCAACGATAGTACAACAGACACCAGAAGTATCTCTTCATCCATGGGAACTCCATGGGGAATGGGCCAATGCCAGTTCAATAAGATTAATAAATAATAGAATTTTAGCTAATTCTCAACTTCCTGACGCCTAAGCTTTACATATTGATACTTAACCACCACTAAAAATGGGGGGGAAAATCTAAGTATTTACAGATTGTACGGTGCTGTACAGTAACACAACCGTTTTTAAAACGAACTCACCTTCCTCCAGGGCCTCTTTTAACTTTACAACTACTTGAAAGTACATCACCTTATAATTAAATGATTTCTACAGCTTTACGGGTACAAAGTATGCGTATGACTGTCGGTGATACATGGTAGTAACTAGTTTAATAAAGATTTTGTTTTGAATATTATCTGGAGGAGGAAGGGGACCTCGTTCAAATCCCAGCTCTGTGCCTTTTAAATTATAGTATGAAAAATGAAAAGTAGTTTAAACCTTCCTTGACTCTGAACAGGAATTACTTTACTTTTATTGATCAGAGAGGATTGATTTTTTTTTTTGGGGGGGAGCGAAACGGGAATCGAACCTACTACTGCAGGATCTGAGCCGAGAGTCTGACACGCTTATTCGGTTACTCGAGGTCCCATCTAAATATAGATCAACTTAAATATTTATTTTTAAAACTATTTTTCAAAACTTCATACAGAAAAGAAAACCGAACGAGAGGTAGTGTGTAGATAACTGTGAGATTTCACTTTGTAGCCAGTTCCATGGAATGTTTATCAAAGAAAAAAAAGTACTGCATGGGGGGAATGGTCTGTAAGGCTGTAACTAATACACGAAGTTACATACAGTTACAGAACAATATATTTATTAAACAGGACTTATTATACAAACTGCAAAATAACACCTTGCGACGTTCAATGCTTATATGCACTGCTGTAGGATACATTTAATAACTGAGAGAAAACAAAAACGCTTCGGCTAAAACGCACATCATACCGCTGCATGTGTCACAACCTAGCAAAACCGCTCCGTGTGTCAGCGCCCTTAGAGTCGATGGACCCACCCCCCTCCCCCCAAAAGGGGTCAGTGTATTACCTATATCCATCTTACGTAGGAAGCCCCATAATGTAGAGCAGAAAGACGAGCATTCGTAATCACTAATTATGTTAAAAAATAGCCAAGAGCTATTTGGACCTTCAGAAAATCAGGTTGAATATTTCCTATTTTTTCTTTAATTTTTGCATAGGAAAGGGGGATATTAAGTTCCGGCGACTATTTTTTTTAAAAGCCGGAAACCGATTAAGTGGGTGCTTTTATATATTCAAAATTTTATTATACTAATCCGTACTTAAAAAAATCATATTGCTCTGGTTTCACATTGACGAGCCTACTTCTGTTGATAGTCGACCTCCATTCCAACGTGCCTTTTTAGGATGGCCATCCCCGAACCTTATTCCTTTACAAGGGTCGTATCGCAATTTTCCAAGTTATTGAACCTCCCCTGCACGTATCCGTTCATTGATGGTGGCTGGTATTTTTGTCGGCTTTGGATTTCCATCTGTGCCCCGTCATATTTCATGAGAATGTTAAACTTACTAAACTGGACATAACTCCGGGAGATTATAACGTAATTTAAAATCATACATGTTTGTAGGCATAAAATGTAGTTTTGTCAATCACATGATGATTTCAAGATTAATTGTGTGATGTAAATGATTCTTGATCATTTTTATGCCTATCGTTACCAATATTTTTTATATATGAAGTAATTTTTGGTACAGTGTTACTTCGGTCTGTTCTGTTTTTTGTCCTATTAATCTTCCATTCAAGTCCTCTGTATAACTCCTTTCTCTTTCTTTCTCTCTCTCTCTCTCTCTCTCTCTCTCTCTCTCTCTCTCTCTCTCTGTCTCTCTCTCTCTCTCTGTCTCTGTCTCTCTCTCTCTCCTTATTATCTTTCTTTCTATTTATCTTGCCTTTTCTTTCTCATTTTATTCTTTCTTTCTTTCTCTTTTTCTCCCTTTCTGTCTCTCTTGTCTGAACGGGTTTGCCCATAACTAATATAGGACTGAGTGCGGTATTTGTAAATACCTTTTTCACATACAGTGCATTTATCGAAAGATGACTATTTGTGGCATAAAGAGGCAAAAATGAGTGGCTTCTCAAAATTCTTCAATCAAAAAGCAAATTATTTCTATATCATCCATTTCAATTGCTAGTGAAACGGTTTCTTTTTGAGTTAACCATTTAAACAGGTGTGTGAGAAGTAAAGACTTTCTGGAATATCAACTTACCTCATTTGCCTAAAATTCGACATGTCTAGTTTTCCCTGAGAGTACAGATATATATACATATGAAAATTAAACAAATTAAACTGAAAAGAGCATAATAAATGAATATTGTTTTTGTTTTTTAATAAATAGCTCTCCTAAAGCATATGTAATGTTTCTATATATTATAAGAAGTTTAATTTTGTTGTATTGGTATACTTAGAAACGAAATACGCGTTTCAATAAAAATGTTCATTATTTTTACCCCGACCTGTGGTGGGCTAGTTTCTATGTAAATTTTATTAATCTCCCGGACCAGAGGATAAAATTAATTTTCATAAAATTAAACGGAAACTACGGATAAACAATGCACACCGCTAAAGCCGGAGGTGGATGGAGGAAATTCGTTCGGAAAAGACAGAGGGAAAAGTGAAACGAGTCAGATTGATTAAAACCAAAATTTAATCTTGGTGGCGAGGACGACTAGCCCGGCGTTCTGGGAAAACAAATGACACTTCATTAAAGAGGATATTAAAGTGCGGCCTTTCGGCCTAGGGAACCCGTTACCAAGCTGTAATAACAAGAATATGTATAGGGTGGTGACTGACACCTCCGATATCACCGTCGGGTTCATGAAAAATTGAAAGACATTTCCGGCATTTTATATTCCCAGTAGCTTCGCAGATTACCCAGTATGAAGAAGAGCACAAGCATTCTGTCAGTCCAGAAGTTTCGTGTTTGTTCAAAGGTTACTTTGTGACCTGGAATATATGTATTGTTAAAAGGTTTATTAATCAAATCTCAAAAACCACTCCTTAAATACAGTAAAATTGAGCTTTTCACCATTAAATTTACCTCCCGTTGTATTATATAATCGATACAATTGATTTTTTTTTAACTAACCAAAGATCTATTGTCTCGATAGAGTTAAATAAACTTTCCGATAAGACTACTTTGTATTAAATTCAATCGCATTTATTAAACTTTAAGTTAATCTTGTAATTAATCTTGCATTCATTACAATTTATAAATTTGTCTCTATTTTCAGTAAAACCCATGTCTGTCACTATGATGACCCCGTACCAGCCTTTGTCTGCCGATAGGGAGTACACTCTCGAATGCCAAAGTGTGGGTTCAAGACCTTCAGCCAAAATATCCTGGTGGAGGGATAACAAGAAACTAGTCAGCACATCGGAAGCGGTAAATTTATATTTTTGTTATTATTTATTACTCCCAATGAATTCAAGTAGGAAAGAACCCATTTTGGGAACCGTTAAAGGCAACAAAGCCGGTTGGTGAAATAATATTTTCTTAAAACCTTTCTCCATCCTACTAAGTCATAAGGTATTATTACAACGTCCGCCCATTCCTTAATTTTTTATTTAGAAAAAACAAGGTACGACGTTAGAGATTTCGGTACATTTCATGTTGTATACGTCATTGTGATTTGGCTTTCTTTAAATAGGATATAATAATATTCTAATTTTTATTACAATAAATTAAGGTTTTTAGTTGAGATGAAAAAAAGTTAATGGCACGAGAGGATTCGAACCCACGACCTTCGGCTAGATACGCCGCTGCTCTACCACCTGAGCTATCGTGACCTCGATCCGCTCGGACATCAACTCCCCATCTCAACCCCACCTTATGAGTTTTCCCTCCTTTTGCCATTTTTCAAATGTCGTGTAATCGGTTTGGATTCTCGACGACAATTGAAATGGCGACGGAGAGCTTTAGTGAAGTGTACTTCATTTCAATTCATTAAATTCGCTTGACCACTGAAACAAATTTTTATTGTTTGAAGAAATTTATAATAGAGGCCTTAAAAAATAACTATAAAAATATTTCATTAATGGCATGTTTTTTATTGTCTCTCTCACTTTCTCTCTCTCTCTCTCTCTCTCTCTCTCTCTCTCTCTCTCTCTCTCTCTCACTGAATTGTTTCTATTTAACGTTTCATTCCTGGGTTTCTTTTTAATTTTTTTCTTGTTTTCCATATAAGAACGGAAGGTTATCAATATTTACTTCTTGTATAATTTTTGATTAAATATTAATTGATAAATCCCAGTCGCAATTACTAGCAGGCTGAGAAGCACATTTACTTACATCCTCTTGCGAAGAAAATGTTCGGGGCGGAGCGGCGCGGTACGAGTCGGAATTGTGAAGGTACGCTATGTAGGAACCGCTCCAGGCCGCGTTGGTCGAATTTTCCCCCTCCATCTGACTAGCCCTGTGGGGTTTAGTGTTGATTTTGCATTTGCAAGAGTCCCCAAGTGACAATAATTATATTCATAATGAATAGTAGTGACGAGGAAATTATTTTTCTGGGCAGAGTTGGAAGAGGAGGAAGATAAAAACGAAAAGCATGGGTACATGAAATAAACACCAAACGCCTTACGTTTAGAGAATATCGCCATTATTTTATTGAAATGATCTTGTTTTCAAACTTACCTTGAAACAATGCTACTACTATTCCAAAAAGCAAGGTAAACAAAGCAACACGTTGACTTTGTCTTTACAAATATGGCGTCCGAGGGCAGCTGAATATAGCTGAACTCAACGATTTCCGCCCGACCCGGCGCACACTAGGCCGGTAGGGCGGCGCGTCCCCGGCTTCAGAAATTTGGCAACTTCTCCAGCCCGGCTCCGCGCCGCCCTACCGACCTAGTGTGCGCCCACCTTAACACAACCGTGGAAAAAATACAAACTGGGCAAGCAATAAAATTTATAAATTTATTTGGACTCACTTACGTACTTTAAGTAAACAACGGGGGAATACAACTCGTGAAAAGCGTGAGGTATGATAAGATCCCGGAAATCTTCATTCCACACTCTATGCTTGGTTCATATTGCGCTATTTTATTTACATTGATGAAATAAATAGATCTAAGCTGCCAAGAAATCACCTGATTATTTCTTTGCATTTTTATATACAAAATACCTATTATATTACAAAATTCATGATATATCTGTTGTCGTAGTGGTTGCTGGGTGTTTTAACCAATTAATTAAATTAATGGTTATACAGTAATTTTGACAAATAAACTCTTATTTATCTTGGCCCACAATGTGATGATTAAAACTATTGAGAGTAAGTTTCAATTAAAATATTTATCATACTTGTGAATAGCAGGTTGATCGCATACCTGAAATAGTTCAGAAGACACTAAATGAACAATTAAGAAAGAGATAGTTATTAAAAGTAAGGGAGGAATATTGAAGAGAAAATGGAAAAACTGCGCCATTTTCAACGACAGATTGTATAGGTGTAACAGGAAAAATTGACAGCATTATTTTCTTTTGGCATCGTTTATGAGATGCGGGAAAACGATTGTTTCTAAAACGAGACGAAAAGATAAATCGTTATTGGATCCAGGTGACTGCAAAAGACTCGGATTGAAAATGGCCACTGTGGAAGCAAATTAAGTTCATTACGTCGTTGGAAAGCGGCTGTCTGTTCTGGATAACTCTTCCTCCTTTTCGGAGTCATTTCCGTCACATTGTGAACGGGGACTGCCTTAAATTGTTTACCATTTATCGAGCTATTCAGGGTGGGGTTCTTGAAAAGCCTTCTTACCATTTTTTTCCTTTCCCCAAAATGTGATTCATTGTTTCAAACTGTACAGGCAATAAATTGATCAGGTATTTTTTTTAATATGTATTTTTAGGGAGATAAAGGGAGGGAGAGAGAGAGAAAAATAGAAAGAGGGAGAGAGTGAGAGAGAAAGAGAGCGCGGGAAGGAGAGGAAGAGAGGGGAAGAGAGTGGGTGGAAGTAAGGGAGAGAGAGTGAGAGTAATGAGAAGAGATCATATATGTATAGCTAGCAAGATAGAGAGATGGAAAAAAAGAGAAAGAAATAAAGACATATAAATAGATAGCAAGATAGATAGATAGATAGATAGATAGACAGAGAGAGATAGAGATAGAGAGANAAGAGAGAGAGAGAGAGAGAGAGAGAGAGAGAGAGTGAGAGAGAGTGGGCGGGAGGGTGTGAGACCGTGTGACGGAAAGTGATGGGGGGATAGGGAGAAGAGAGGTGGCCATAAGCACAAGGCGTATTGCACCTCGACTTGTATAGATCTATTGTGCTCCCCCTCACTGGCCAGCTTCAGGTTGTTAATCAGCCTCCATAGCTTTGCCAGTGCTGCGGCTCGTTAGTGTAGGATCTTGCCTGCGGGTTTTCTTGTCCTGCAAAACCTACATACCCCTGAACATCTAACGTAGAATGTGTTCTGCGATCTACTCCTCTTCTTGGCCCTATTTTCACAGTGTTTCTTCTGTCTGTACTCCCATCCGATCTTAAGTGGCAATGTCCTGTCAAGAGTCCAACCAGAATACTGATTCAGTTGCGGTTGCCCTCCAGTAATGCTTTTGCTCTTCGCAATAAAACCCAATCCTATATCCTATCGGGCCAAAGCCCTTCATTACCAAGAAGCAGGCACTCTCCACCACTCCTGATCCTAGAGCAAAATGGAAGCTCCTTCGGAACATTGGCATATGTCGCCCACCCAACTCGCCATCTCCCCTGAAGAATTAAAAACCTACTTTGTCTCACCCAACTCTTCTTCATCAATGCCTGCCGCCAAACCCGATCCGTCTGGACCCTCATCCAGTTGTCTAACTTCTATTTCTCCTATTTAACCCCAACCGAAGTCCTCGAAGCCATAACCAAATCCTCCTTCAATGCCATTGGAGTTGATGGCATCCCAATCCATTTTCTTAAACTCTGCCTCCCAATATTACTACCTGTTCAACTTCACATCTATAACTACTCACCCCAAAACTCTGTTTTTCCTACAGCCTGGCATAAAGCCCTTGTCCACCCTGTCAATAAAACCCTCAACCCATCCTTCCCTACAGACTACCGTCCCATTTCCATTCTCTCAAACCTGTCCAAGCACAAGTCTCCAAGCACCTTGAACAGTCCCATCTTCTCAACCCCCTCCAATCTGGCTTCCGCCAGGTTATTCCACCCGATCAGCACTAATAAAAGTTACCAGTGACCTCCAATTAACAAGGGACCAACGGAAAGTTACTATCCTTGTCCTTCTTGAATTTTCCAAAACCTTCGATTCTGTCCCTCACTCTTCTCTCCTCTCTAAACTCGAATCTTTTTCCTTCTCCGCCAGCACCATCCGTTGGTTCCACTCCTACTTACCAAACGCCACAAAGCTGTCTCCCTTCCCAATGGCCTTACCTCCTCTTTCCTCCCTCAAAAATCTGGGGTGCCCCAAGGCTCTAGCATCTCTCCTATCCTTTTTTCCATTTATATCAATGACCTGCCCGACTCCATCCAGTCCCGTAACTATCACCTATATGCCGATGACTCCCAAATATACTTATCCTTCCACCCTTCCCATCTTCACTCGGCCTTTCTCGAGATCCAAACAGACCTAAAGTCCATCAACGAATGGGCCCATAAAAATTCCCTAGTCCTCAATCCGTTCAAATCTATCGCCATAATTAACGGGTCCATTCAACTCCTCAATTCCCTCCCCAGCATCCCACCTCTCATGCTAAATAACCATCCCATCCCCCTCTGCTCCTCGGTTAAAAACCTAGGAGTAGTCTTTGACCAAAACCTTTCCTGGCATTCTCACATTTCCCAAATTTCCCGCCATCCATTGCCTCCCTCAGCCTGTTTCGTCGGTCCTGGCTTCTCTTACCTTTCTCCACCCGCAAACTCCTTGTATCTTCCCTTATACTTCCCTTCTTCGATTACAGATGTGTGGCATACGGAGGTCTCTCGGAGGGGGGGGGGGAACGCGCGATTGAAGCGTATATGAATTGTTGCGTAAGATTTGTGTACAGCACCCCACAGGGATCCCGGGAGTCGGGGTTGTATTCCTAACTTTCCTGGCTATTCCCCTCCTTCCGTGAACAGAATTTTCTAGGTTGCTTTCTTTTCCAGTCCATCTACACTCGTCGTCCTCCTTACATCATCCAATCCCTCCAATTCAATTCCTCACATCACACTCGTAAGACTGTACTGTGTCAAAGCATTTCTGTAGGTTTCCCACCCATGGCGGTTGAATAAAGTCCTAACTCGAGCTCTCGTCGTTCTAGGTGTTTGTTCCACCAGAATGTTTTATTTTTGTTTAGCCTATAGTTACATCGTGTATAGGAAATAAGGAAAATAAATGAAAATGTGTCTGAATAAAAATGTGTTTTTACCGTAAAAAAATTGGGTCCAATGGAG